AGCTCGCTGTACTCGGGGCAGGGGTAGATACTGTTGGGCTCCTCTGTGACCCGTAATAACTACTATGATAGCTCCTCTGTCCTTGGCCCCTTTGAAATGGACCCTTCTGCCTTCCTTGGTTCCATGAGCTACTCGAACCCTGATGGTTTTTCTTCATAATGCCTCCGGTGGGTCGAGGGTAGGTTGGGGGTCTACTATATGAATAACCCCTCTTCTCTCTCTCAACCTCCTTCTTACTGCGAGCTACTACTTGTAGTTTTATGCACATTTCATCATAATCTCGGATATCTAGATGAGCCAATTGTTCCCTCAATTCTGGTCTAGCCTTCTCCAATAAGCGCTTAGCCTTCCATTCGGAATCATCCCTATACTGCAGGTACGTGGAGTATCTAGATAACTCCTGAAACTTAGCAATGAATGTGTCCTCATCGAGGTTCCCTTGCTTAAAGGCATGGAATTCCGCTTCCTTCTCAGACCTTAACTCTGATGGAAAGTAATGCCTAAATAATTTTTCCTTGAATTCCTCCCAGGTGAGTGTAGAATCATCCCTGGGCCCTGCTGTCTCCCACCAATCTCTTGCTCCTTTCACTAGGAGCACTAATGCTACTTGTACTTTTTGATTGCTGGTGCATGTGACTACTCGAAAGATGGATTCGAGTCTCTTCACCCATTCCTCTACCACGGATGGTTTAAGGTTACCATCAAACGTAGGAGGGTTAAACTTCCTAACAGTTTCCCACACATCAGTAATGGTCGGTGGGGCTCTCTGTTCCTCCTGCCTAATTTCTTTCCTTCTAGACTCATGATCTCTCAGAGTGGCAGGATGTGAGGAACTGCCTTCCCCCACATGACTCTCAACATGAGCCCTATCTCCATTTTCAGTTACCTTTTGCCTCTTTAGCTCCGTCAACTCTTGTTCGTATCCTTGAACCTTGTCTGTTAATGTTTTTACAAGCATTCTTAATTCCGCCAAGTCAGGCTCCTCATTTGGCAGTGGCGGTGGCAGGTGCTCATGTTGGAATCCTGAGTTACCACGAGTAACAGGCATTTTCTCTCCCCTCCTAAAGGATACAAGATATAAATAATAAAATTAGCCTAGCTATATCATGGCCATACAATGAGAAGCACCATAACAATGTATATTGCCAACCGACTATATGCTCTGATACCAATATGTAACACCCTCAAATTTACAAACCGATTTTTCGCAAGTTATTAATTCAAGAAATCATTTTTTTTTTCATTGAACCCTTATCATACCCTTATCATGGTAGAAAAATTTCTACCATGATACATCCAAGACAATATACCACAGGTCTTAAAATATCTCAAAAAGCAATTAGAACCATGAGGGACAGACATGATCCTCATAGCATGTTATTTAAATTAGGTCATGAATCAAAAGGGACAGACATAATCCTCTTGGACATATAAATGCATTTAATAAAAAGGATTAGAGTTTACATGCTCCATAGACAAGATATGTCCTAAGTTGGCACAAGATACATTGTATAATCCAAAATAAGAGGCAACGTAAAAGATGGTGTCTCATACACCATAATTACACCTCTGGTGCTTTCTCGGCCGGATTCGCTCCTGTAAAAATATTAACCACGGGGAATGAGACTTAAAAGTCCCAGTAACCAAAAATTAATATGTAATGATGCATGCGGATGTAACTAATCATGCGATTGCTAAGTGGGCACACAAAACATTTAACCGAACAATATTTTCAAACAAACCGAACAAGTATTTAATTGCATGACTGCACCTTATATCCTCCTTTCACCATGCTCGGACGCCAAATCACCCGGCCAAAGGTGAGTTGGACCAAGCGACACGCCACTCATTGGGTCCAATGAGGGCTTACCACGTGGTAATAATTAACCGAACAGAAATTCCCATTAACACCATACATTAAAATACCCTGACAAGTCATGCATCATTCAAATATCCAAACAGGAATATATCCGAACAATAATATCTCATCATGATAAACAAAAATAAATTTTTAACCCACTTGGCAATAATTTCAAACAAGTATATACAGTATTTATTTTCAATAATTCATAATTTTTCCAAACAACAAAACAACACATAACCATTCACAAACACACTCATCACAACACATTAATAATGGTTACCTTGTGTCTTGAATAACAAGTTCCCCTTCACAACTCCTTTTTCACCACTATCTTTGTCAATATAATCTACATAATTATTTCACAATACTATATATTAATTTTACATTAAAATAAATAACTCTAATTTAAAGAGTTAGAAAGTCTTAAATCTATAGTCCATATTAACACTAATTTAAGATTTATGCCTCATTTAACTTCCCAAATTCTTTTCTAAAATTCTCGTACCCTAATGAACTATTTTTTTTTATCCTCAATTCACTTCTAGTATCACAATTTCATCCTTCTACATTCTAAAAATTCATCCAAAAATAAATTAAAAATTTTAGAATTATCCTGAAGCCTCAAATCACCTTTCTATAACCTCAAAAATACCTATTCATACTTAAATAAATATTTAATAATCATAGGTTTATCCCTACGTCTCAGATTCCACATAAATTCAACCATATAGATCTAGATTTTAACTCAAAAATTCTTAAACATGAGTTTCAACCTCAAGAAAATATTCTATAATATTTATTATATCCCTAAGAATTTTAACCTATATTTTTAATCCATCATATCATCAGATTAACTATCCTATAGAAAAATCCTAATCAAAATATTTACTCTATCCTACAAAATAATCATATCACTAGAAAGCTAATATTATTTAGAAAATAACTATAAAATTAATTTTGTAATTAAATAAATTTTTAAATGCTAATCTAAACAGGAAAGTTAGAACATACCTGAAGAAAAAAAAAATAATCCCCCCTTGTGAGAAAACGCCGAGCAACGTGAGAGGAAGAGAGAAAAATAATATAAAAATGGGATTGTGAGTCCCAAAATTATATTAAAAAAAACTATAGGTTTGAATTTAATTATTCAAACCTTTGGGCCAAAAGTTGCAATTTTCTCTAAATTGCATCTTAGCCTCTCATGCTTCCTAATGCACACACCCCCTCCTTTTTATACATGAAGGCACCTCTTCTCTTCCCTCATCTAACCAATGTGGGACTTAGAAACAACAACCTTCCACCCCCTTTTTTTTATTCCTTCTACCTTCTCTCTCTTTTTTTTTCAACACATACATAAAAAAAATTATTTATGTATTATATCTTAACTAAATATTGCTTATGTGGTTTTAAATTTAAATTTTTAAATTCATAATTAAATACCTAACCATAATATTATTTCTAAATAACCTCAAATAATATAAATTCCTATTATTATCATTTTTTTTCTCAAAACCTAAATTCCACAATTTCTTTATTATATAAAAAATCAGGATGTTACATAGAGAATTCATCATCATGACTATTATATATGGGTTTTGAAAACTTTATAGGAGCCCAATGATTAATTATATATAAAGAACTAAATTGATTCATTCAGACATTCTTAGTCTACTCTCTCTATTTTGTTTTTTGAATGTAATGGAAAGATTCATTAATTCAAAGGAAAAACTATACAAGGTTTTGAAATAATCACTTTAACGCAGAAATAATACTAGAATTGATAAAAAATCAAAGATAACAGGGAAGGCTTAAGCAAAGGTTAGAAAGATCTAGAAAAAAAAAAGGGTTTATGAGTAAAAATAACACTAATCAGCTATTGCTATCCCAAGGGAAAGAGGAGGCGAAGCTGTGGGTCTCAAAGTTGCTTGTTAAATGGGGGAAAGAGGAGGAGATGAGAAGAAGAGAGAGCTATCAATTAAATGCTTGTCGTTGAATGCTTGCCATGAGTCTCAATTATGTTCATTGGCTGTGGGTCTCAATGCTGTGGGTCTCGATGTCATAGAAGGAGAAGAGAAAGGGAGAGTTGCAATGGGTAAGAGAAGAGAAAGCTACCACGGGGAGGAAAAAAAGAGAACTACCATGGGGAGAAGAGAGAGTTGCCGAGGGAGAGATTTCAAAATACATAAGATGAACTAGTAAATGAGACATATCTATTTTAAAAAACTTTATCAAAATTCACGTCACTTTTTTTTAAAAAGGACATGGATTTAAAACATTTTCACGTTGATTTTTTTTATTAAAAGCGATGTAGATTAAGTAAGCCAAATAAATTATTAAAATTTAAATTAAATTATATTAAATCAATTGCATCCTATAAATTTAAAATGATATGATTTTTACAGTCTCTGTCACTTTTTAAAAAACGACGTGTGTTCTCAACATAAAATAAATATAATATTATTTAAAATGTTTTTGAATCTATGTTTTTTTTAATAAATAGACGTGGATATACTATTTATTGTATTGTAAAAAAAATGATGTAGATAATTTATAGTGAATAAATAATTCATATTTATATGTTCTTCATAATCGACATCGCTACGTGTAAAATGATATGGATTTAAATAACCACGTTGATTTCCTATAAAGTGACATGGATAGGCTCCCAAATTCAATACTTATTTATGAAATTATTACTACATCTATTTTTACATCACTTTTAAGAAAAGTGACGTAAATTGAGGATAGTAAAATGTGTATTTTATAATAGTGAGTGGATGATGCTCTGCTTAGTTGTAACTGGTTTTATTTGTTCTTAGTAATATATATACCTGCTTCATTCCAGGAAAAAAAAAAGATAAGACTAACCAATGGGTTAGGCTTAGGAAAATAGATTAACCCTTACATTACGACGAACTAAAATTCAAATGTTTATTAAAAAAGTTACCTATATTTAATGTCTCATCATACTTTGTATACGAGAAAGATACTTGTAATTTGTAAAACTAGTGAGACTTTCTGTGGGTAAGTGCTAAGCAAAACCCTGTAGACCTAAGCTGGCACCAACAACAACCAATAATTAAAGCAAACACAAATACGAAACCAAGAACATGCAGCAAAATGCATGTAGTCAGCAATGAACAGCTTTTTCATTCTCCACTATCTTGAGTGGACATCAAATGGGTCGGTTTCCCAGGGCACTTGTCAACAACGCAGTCACACGCTTCTGGTTCTCGAAGTTTCAGCCACAAAGTTTGTGTCTATCACATCCTCCACTTCCTAATTTCTAACCCTAAAATAATGTTCCCATCACTGCGTCAGCAACTATATATATTCAGGCCAAAACTCTTGAGCTTCCCATCAGAAAACCCAGAGTGATCTTATTTACTTACTTGCTGTGGCATCAACTTCATCGATCATATTCCTTATATAGTTTGCGTTCTCCTTCATTTTCTCTGTGCCAATGGGTGCTTCTGCATCCTGGTCTTGTTCTCTTGCTTGCTCTGCTTCTTCTCGCGTCTGCTTTGTTTCATCAGAGAGCAGGGTTATCGAAAGGAAGGACTTGAGTCTGGACCTTGGTGGGCTGGGCCTTGGAGTTGGAGCAGGATTGGGTTGGGCCTAGGAGGTGGAAGTGGATCCGGAGCTGGAGCTGGATCCGGGTCTGGGTCTGGCTCCAGTTCAAGTTCTTCATCCAGCTCGTCCTCTTCGTCTTCTGGCTCTGGATCTGGAGCGGGTTCTGAAGCTGGTTCGCACGCCGGGTCTTATGCGGGCTCTCGAGCTGGGTCGGGAAGAGGACAAGGACGCGGGGGTGGAGGAGGCGGTGGGGGCGGTGGAGGAGGCGGTGGCTCCGGCTATGGTCATGGTGAGGGCTCCGGCTATGGTCACGGTGTGGGTGGCGGTGATTAAGAGAGTGAAGTGATCTATAGGCTAGAATATTTTAAGCATGTGTGAGTTAAAAATAAATAAGTCCAAGTTAAAAATAAATAAGTCCAAACTTTGTACTAGAGAAATAAATATGATACATGGTGACCCGCATCACTTTATGTTTCACTTCCACAGTTTTACTATCGTTTTTTAAAATATATATATATATATATATATATAATTGGCATTTTTTTTAATTTACAATACCAAGTTCTAGATATTTTTAAGGGGGGAAGGTAGTACGTTTAAGAAATTTGTTGTTTAATGAAAAATTGAACCATTATTTTTTATCACGTTTTCATAAAAATTAATAAATGCATAGATTGAATGGTTTATTAAGTTTTTATCAATAATTTAAATATTTATATTTTTTATAATTAGAAACCTTTTGTATGCTGAAATAACATAAGGTGTTTATTTGCATGGTCTATTCATGGCATTCTATTAAAAAAAAAAAAGTGTTGTTTAGATTAAAATACAGAAAAAGCAATAAGTAGTTAATTGTTATAGTATCATTATTTTCTCCTTAAAAAGCTACTCCCTTCATTTAAAAATATAAAATATTTTTTGAAAAGTTAGATTTTTAAAAATGAAAGTTATTTTTAATCTTTTGAAGGGTAATCATTGTCTTTTTTTAAAAGTGTCCCTATTAATAATAATTTTATATTTATTATAAGATAATTAATAGGAGTAAATATAAAAAGATGAGATTAATTTAAAAGTAAGTAATTATTTTATTAAAAAATAAAATTTAATTAAAAATATTTTATATTTTTAAATAAATGGAATAACCACCAAGGCTTGGTGGCATACTCGTTTTATGGGCAGTACTCTCTTGAAATTCTTCCGATGTACAATATAGCAGCTTGTCCAAGCCGATTTGTAACATCCTCATCATCAATAGTATGTCGGAGGGCCCACCAACTAGGTAAAACCTAGGTGTAAATTTAATATCATTTTATCATGAACCTATTTCTCTCTTTTTAAAAAATTAACTTCCTAAAATGTGCCGCGTACCTGTATATATGGCCAGAGCCCTCTCGAAAATCTTCCAACGTGGGACAAAACATGAAGCTTCGTGTAGGAATGTGCAATGAATGAGACTCCATGGCTCACTTTGAGATAAGACTGCTCCAGGCTATCAATTAATCATATGATTCTGTCAGCACTTCTCTTATCCGAAAAATAAATAAAACTAAAAACAATATTCCTTCTATTTACTACTCTTAAAAGGTACTTTTCCTATGCTTTTTTAAGTTTTTATATTTTGATTTATAATATATTATACAAAATATTAAAGGTCGTTGATTTGTTTATTTCAAAAATGTCATTAACCAAGAAAAAATACTTAACCTCTATTAACTAATGGATATGGAAAAATTGGCCACGATGACCAAAAGGCCCAAATATTTGGGCTGAAGTCTCAAACCAAATAAAAAACTTGCAGGGCAACAATATATTTTGGAGAAAAATCAAAATCTCCTTCCCATTTTTGCTCCGATATGTGGAAGTCATTCAAGAATTTTTAACAATCCGTACACTAGAAAAAAGTGCAGGAAAATGAAGTGTATTCTATTTTGATATATATATATATATATATATATTTATTTTGCTGAAAAGAAATTATCCTTCGGGATCGTGGTCTTTTGTGGGTTTATTTATGCTTCTGGGACTTATAACCAAATATTTAATAGATTTTTGTCCTTAATGACCCATTTTAAGTGGAGTTAGTATCCAACAAACTGTCATTACCGAGGGACACCATCATCATATCATATAATAAAATTATAAAAACTTTTTTCATACCAAAAATTATAAACCTTTCACAAGCAAGAATCTTTTTTTTTTTTTCAAAAAAAAGAAACAACAGAGTGAAAACTAAAAAGTAAAACCGGGCCACCTAACATAGGTAAATCCAAGTAGTGAAATACTTCCTCTAATTTTATTTATAACACACCTTTAAAAAATAATTTTTATTTAAAAATATAAAAAACTTTATAATAATTAAACTAATTTTTTTTAATTTTATATTTTTTTAGTTAGTGTAAAGGTATTTAATGTAATTATATTATTATTTAAAGTGAAAAGTAAAAATAAAATTATATTTTACTTTTTTATAATAATTTTATTAAAATGTATAAAATAATTGAAAATATTTTATAATAAAAATATGAGGGAGTGTATCTGGTCATGGACTACACCACATAAGTGAGAATTTAGGTATGCACATGGCATATGAAAATGAGTGGTTTTAATTAAATAATTAATCGTAAGTAAAAAGATAGTGTATGCTTCTTAGAAGCAACGAAGAGATGATTTCAAAGACAAGTCTCAGCACAAAGAACAAATAATGAACGACATGGGCTCCAGGGGAAGCTAATTTATTTCAAAGATTCTCTCTCTATGCTCTGCCAATTGGAGGAATATGTCTCTGCAAAGTGTGAACGTAATAATTAACTTGAATATCTTATCAGTACGGCAAGGTAAAAACGCGCTAAGCAGGCTCGTGCACTAGGGGCTGTACAAAAGTCTAGTTTGATCCAATTCGGTACAATTCAACTCGAAACAACGTGATTCAATTGGATCCAAGATAAAAGTTAGTCTTTTGAGATTAAAGAGATAAAAGAGATTAGACTTTTTTTTTATTTGGATTTGACAAAAAATTGAATATCTGAATCATTTAGTTTCATCCAACTCTATAAATTTATTTAATATAATTACAATTAAATTATTAATTATTATATAATAAATTAATTTATAATAAAATTTAGTAATTTTTTTATATTTTATATTTGTAAAATCATGAATGTTAGCAAAATTTTAATAATAATCAGCCTTAATTTTTTCCTTTTACTAGTAAAATTTATTATTAATTTGATGCAATATACTTCAAACAGTTGAAATTTATTTAATTTAAATTATTTATATTGCAACCGAAAATTTTGTGTTATTATTAGAGATTGTTGTAAATTTATAATTGTTATTATTGTGATAAATTTTATATTACTATAAATAATTTTATTATGTTAATTAATTTTATTATATTGAAATAAATTATTATCTCAAAAAAGAAAAAAAAAAGAAAAGTTAAATATTGAAAAAAATTAAAATTAATCTTTTAATCCTACTAAATCAATTCAATTTTATTTAACTTTAGATTATATGAAAATTAAATTAAATTATGAATTGTCTGACTCAATTTTTTTACAAAAAGATTTAGACTGTAATACCAAAATTTTGTCGGGCCTGTCGCTTATGTAGCTCGCGGAAATGAGACCTTGTTTATTATTATTCCCATGTCTAGAGATTTGTGGACAGCTCTCTGACGTGAATCAAAGGCCAATGTATTTTTGTCTAACAAGATTACAGTGCTCAATTACTTTTTCTATTTTTAAATATAAACAAGGATAGATGACAATAAAATCATAAAAAAATATATAAATTTTTTTAAACAAGAAATCTTTAAAATTTTAATGGACACTTTTTTTATGTTAATAATTTTAAGTTAAAGATTAAATTATCTTTTATTTAAAAATAAAATAACAGGTCTGACCTTATTTTTTTAATTACAATTTTTATTTTGTAAAATATAAAACTTAAATAAAAAATTACAACTCTTTAAGTAAAATTTATTTTACAATTGACAAATAAGCTCTGAAAATAATCAGTTCTAATTATAACTTTTGTTGAAGTAATTATAACTTTAATTTTTATAAATCATAAAAATTAAACAAAAATTATAACTTTTCACGTAAATTTTCTTTTATCATAAAAATTCAAGTTGTGAAAATAACCAATCACAACTTTTATTTAAACAATCATAATTTTTATTTTGTGAATCGTAAGAATTAAATAATAAATCACAATTCTCACATGAATTTTTTTTATCATTGAAATCCATTTTTTTAGAAATAACTAGTCAAAATTTTTTGTTTAAGCAACCATAATTTTTATTTTGTTAATTGCAAGATTAAATAAAAAATTTAAACTTTTCATGCTAGCCTATTTTTTTTCAAGCAAGGGACAATTTAATCATTTTATTTTAAATCATTAATGTCAAAAAGATATCTAAGAATTTTAGAGGAATTATACATTTCAAGGGACATAATTATTATTTATATATTTCAGTTAAAGTTTATTGTCATTTTCCTATAATTTTTTTTTAAAAAATTGCATATCAGTAAAATCTTTATTTTTTAAAAAAATATATTTTTATAAAAAATGACAATAAAATTCCTTTTAAAATATATAAATAATAATTTAGTCCCTTAAAATGTCATATTTTTTTTAAGTTTTTAGAGACTTTTTTATCATTAATAAATTTATACAAATTATTAAACTATCTTTATTGAAAATAAATGATATAAGTTTTTTTTAAATATTTATAACTTTTCTTTTATATTATTCGTCAATACAACAGTAAATTACAACTTCACATGTTAATTTTTATTTACTATTGTGATTTAATGTTACATTTTTATGAATATAAGAAGAAAGTTGTGAATATTTAAATAAAACTTGTGAATGATTTATTTTTAACAAGGTAATTGGATAATTTATATAAATTTATTAATGATATAAAAGCCTCTAGGGTGTTTAAGAAAATTATGATATTTTGAGAGATCAAATTATTATTTATATATTTTAAATAAATTTTATTATTATTTTTTCTATTTTATTCGTAATTTCAATTATCAATACATTTTATAACGAGTAAAATATAACTTTGCACAATGATCTAGATTAATAAATATATAAAATGAAAAAAATTTTAATATATTAAATTTCTTTAGTTTTGAATTAGGATTAGTTGAAAGAAAATGCTTATATTTTAGACAGAAAGAAGTATCATTTTTTTTTTAGGTTAAATGTTAAGAAATATGAGATATTTTTTTTACTGTATAATTAATGAGATTTTTTTCTAGAAACATTTTAATAAATAAATCATTCAACCTTTTATATATAATAAAACATCCTATTAG